GGAAAAAAGGGTGGAGGGCTTGGCCAAAGTGCCGCGTTTTACATCTTAATAAGTGTCTGGAGAGCTGGGGGCCGGTGGGGTCCTGCCAGCATCCCAGCGGTAAGCCTGGGGCTGGTGGCAAGGCTGACCTGGATGAATGGATGGAGGAACCCTGACCAGGCGGCATCTCGCTGCAGGGCTCAGAGGACGTGGATATTTCCCCAGGCGGGCTGCAGGGGGAAAAGCCAGATCACTTAGCTCAGTGCTGCTGGGTCCCCGGTGGAGATGGCAGTTCTTTGGGAACGGCTGCTTTCGTGGGTTACTGGGGACAAACGAGCAGGCATTTCTCTGTGGAGCTCTTATCCCTTGGTAAACTCAGAGTGGAGATGCCACCAGAAGAGTGTGCTCCTGGGATGAGCATCACAGGGAGCGTGCTGTAGATCCAGTCTCACATGATAGAAATGTGTTCATGGGGTCAGAGCTGCTTCCCGCAGCAAAGCTGGCCTGCCTGAGGCAGAAAGGGGAGCATCTCCTCAACTGGACTGTGTGTGGAGGGTAGAGCTCACCAGGACACAACTACTAGCTTGGTGCAAAGAGTGGATGTACTGGTTAGTGAGGTTTATGGTTGCTACAGAGACATGCTGGCCTTCCAGTTGATGTCTCCAGTACAAGAGAAACCAAATCTGCACCCTTCCCATACCACATCTCAGCTGGGGACATTATACAAGACGAGAAATTGATGGAAGTGGTCTCCACCTTGGTCACCTGTGTTGGGCCAGCACAGGGATGAGTTCCCATGGTCTGTCATGCCACACAGATAGACTCAGGCTGGGGCATGTTTCGGGTTCTTTTGCTCTCTTGCCTGGCCTGCCCAGAGGAGGGTCACAGCCAGGTTGAACACTTGCCCTTAGCCTGGCTTGCCGCATGCATCTCTGTCACACTCCTGGTGTGGCCAGCACCCCTCACCTGACACACACGTGTGTGGAGGTGACGCCAGGGACAGAGTTGCGATGAGTGGGCAGTTGGCCCAGCCTGTGTGCTAAGCTCTGCCCATCTTTCTGTCCCTCGGCTGCAGTGTGGCCTCTCCTGTTTGGCTGTCCCCGTTCAGCTAAGCCATGTGCGCATCCCCTCATTACAGGCACTCCAGGGAGAGGTGGGATTAAAAGATTATGGTAATGTTCTTCAGGAACACTCAAGAAGATTAAGATGGCTTTAATAAACTGGTAAGAGAGGGACACAGCTATGTTTCTGAAACCCTAATTTAGGTCCCAGGTTAACCTTTTTCCCTGGTCTCCTGTCACCATGGTGAGAAGATCTCTTACTTCAGCAGTGCTCCATGACTATGCCTGTTCCTTTGGTTTTGCTTTTGACCCATCTGAGCAGAAGCAGAAAGACATCTTCCTTCCTCTTCTGGTAGCCTTCCCACGTACAGACATGTTAGAGCTTGTTCTTCTCGGAGACCATCTCACATACAGCCTGCGAGGTACTGTGAAGGTCTCATAGCCTCTGCTGCTGGTACCTGGGGTACCTGTTAGCTGGCGATGAACCCACCATCCCTCAGTCTGGCTTCAAAATATCCTGTGGTTGCTGGCAGAGAAGTGGCTCGTTTGCCTTTGACCTGGCTGGACATACTCTTAGAGAAGTCCCTGTGTCTTGGGACTAATGCCAAGGTTACAGCTCCCTATGACCGCACTCAGTCGGTCATCTCTATCCCCCGTAAAGGCTACTGGAAAGAGGGGCAGAATGGACCAACCTTGCCCTGCCTTCCTGCATATCTTTCAGGTGGAGCTGGGAGCGGGACCTGGCTGATGTGTCACATGTGTCTGCCACCAGGTCCACCTGGGTGTGCTGGAGCGGATGTTTATCCAGTTGTTCTGCAGGAGGGTGGCTATTAGCTGAGCTGGGAGACCTCCTTGTCTGTCTACTCCAATCTCTTCCAGTCAGGCTCCCAGTCATCTGCCAGAAATTCATGCATGGAAGGCTTCTTCTGAACGGGTTTCTGTCAGAGCGGTTAGGTGATCAAGGATCTGTTATCTTTCCCAGACACCTCTATTTGTGTCTGAGACCCCCGAAGTTTACGCCTTGCACACTATCTGGAGAGCAGATACCATGTTATCTCCGGAGGTACCGTGCACTGTGTCCCTCCATGTTGGATCACTCCTTCCTCCCACTTCAGTCTTTCACTCTCATCCCTCTGCCGCAGTATTATCCATATCTTTTTTGTCTGTTGACTCTCTCCATTCCCTTTTTATTTCTTGGATGTAATTGGAAGAGCTGAGAAGAATTCGCAGCCTGGTGTCTTGATGGGGAAAGGGAGGCAGAAAGTGATTTGGGGAGTGGGGTGTGAAAGGAAGACGAAGGGGAAAAGCTGGCTAATTTGCATCCTTTCTGAGTGCCCTGGCTCTATAGCCAAGGTACAGCAGGGGGTCTTTTGGCAAGGCGGTAGCAACGTAATGAGGTGTGTCATATCCCAGCAGGAGCCAGCCTCACTCCCCCTCAGACCCCCTAATTAGAACTGTTTCAATTTTTAAGCCCCCCTGGAGGAGTGCTGGGGGGAGGCGGGGGGAGTGGGGTTCCTGTGGTGGGGGGACCGGGGCCCCCCAGCCGCCTGCTGAGGGGGCAGCTCTAATTGGAGTCACCGTGAGGAGCCACAGAGTGATACAAGCTCACCGTGGGGCCAGGGACAGTGATGCTGTAGTGCCACAGGGCTGCCAAAATGCTTTGTGCCAGGAGGGGCCATCACTATTGCATTTGAATTAATGCGTTGGCAGAGGCAGCAGGGGTGTGATACAGGGGCAGGGGAGGATTGCACATCCTATTGTGGCCTTGTATTGGGATCTTGGATCCTGAGGCTGAAGCCTGGGACATCTACCCCCTGCTTTGGGAGGCAGGTCTAGTAGCCCAGGGAAGTTGAGGCTGTTAATGCTGGAGTCATGAGCCAGAGCAAATGCTGGAACACCCGCGTTGGCAGAGGCAGCAGGGGTGTGATACAGGGGCAGGGGAGGATTGCACATCCTATTGTGGCCTTGTATTGGGATCTTGGATCCTGAGGCTGAAGCCTGGGACATCTACCCCCTGCTTTGGGAGGCAGGTCTAGTAGCCCAGGGAAGTTGAGGCTGTTAATGCTGGAGTCATGAGCCAGAGCAAATGCTGGAACACCCATCCGCATATTCTGTGGCTTTCCATCCTTTTCCTGTGAGCTGGCTGTGTCCACCAGGTTTGGTGACTGGTAACTGAGGTCCCTGTCATTTCACCCAGGAGCATGTCCTACTCAAGTCTCTCTTTTGTGTCTCGAGCTTCCATTGCAGTAGGTGCCCACACCACAGGGGCTTCGAGTGTAGGAGCTTCCAAGAACTGCTGGCTTACTCAGATCAGGGTGACTTGTAAGCCTCCTCTAGTCCATGGACCAAATCCTGGCCCTGCAGAAGTCAATGAAAATCTTTACACTGGCATTTTCAGGCATGGTATTCATAGTCCTCCTAATTCAGATGCATTAAAGCTTCCATGGAACAGCTTGTGGGTTCTCTCTAAAACACCATCTGGCAGGAACAAGAGGAGCCTGGTAGTAGCCCAGGCTTATTTTCTGAATGACTGCAGCAGCATTAAAACCTAATGCCATTAAAACATGCCTGCAATGACGTGTGCCATTAAAACCTAAGACGACACCCTGTATGCCCCCTAGTCTGCCTATTGCTCTTGCAGACCCCATGGGCTGGGCGTGGAGGAAGTTTGTTCTTCTGATAGCATTTCAGAGAGCACCAGGCTCAACCCTCCTCAGCTCCTAAGATAGAGCCCAGATATGTACCCCTGTATTCAAACCCCCTTTCAAAGTCTGTGCAAGTTAGATGCTGGAAAGCAGTAGCCACTTTGGGGCCATCTCAGTCCAAGTACAGTTTCCCAGGGCCTCTGCCCTTATGCCTGGCCTGTTTCTTGAAGGCAGGAGTGAAGGTCAACTCGACTTCTTGGCTTCCAATAGAGGTCATCTTCTCTTGACTTGCCAGGAGGCAAGCTGGCAAGATACCCATGAGCAGGCTCTGATAAAAAGGCAGGTGAAATCCAGTGTGAAGTGATGGACGCGAGTGAGCAAACCTGATTTGGTGGTGTGTCTGATGGGCCCTGAACTAGCTGTTACCATGCAGCAGCAAAACCTTAGAGCTGAGCTTCTGTGAAACCATTAGCTCTGTGCTTGGCAGAGGTCAGAAAAAGTAAATTGAGTGTGAGGAGCTGTTAGGCTGAGAACAGGGAAAGGAGGAGACATTTTGCCCCGTCCAGGTCCCCGGTGTGCCTGCCTCTCAAACACAGCGCATCAGGGCTGGCCAGGTGGCAAAAGGCACCTGTGCCACAGGTGGCTCTGTAGATGCTCTGACCTGAAAGGCTCCTGAACGAGGTCCAAATGTGATAAGAACCATGGGAAAGGTGATTAGGGAACGGGCATGCGTGGCCTCTTCCAGAGCAAGTAGTAAGGGTCACCTGGAGGAGCCATCGGTTAGCAGATTCAAAGCAAACCAGGGGAAGGACTTCATCGTAGCTGGCAAACCGTTCCGCTCCCTGCCACCGGCCACTGTGCCTGTTAAAAGCTCACACGGCTTCAAAAAGCAATTAGACAAATTCATGGAAGAAAGCTGTGCTGAGGGCTATTAAATACAAAGAGAAAACCTCTGGCTTGGGCAGCTCTGGAGCCACAGATGCCCGCGGGCTGGGAGAACATACCTAGAAAGAGTGGCTTGCGCTCTTATGCTCTTCTGAAGACATCTTCTGAAGGCCAAGCCCTGGGGGACTTGGCCCCAGATGAGTGTCATGTCCTGCCCAGCTGACTGGTCGTCTTCTCCTTTCCTCTCTTTCCAGGTTCAGCACAATGAGTTGGCATCCTGGGTGTTAGCAGCGTGAGGAGATCAGGACAGGTGCTGCCCTGCTTACCCCTTACCCCCTCGCTCATTCCCCTTGGGGAGACGGGTGCTGGCGTCCCTGCCCTGCCCTTCCGCCCCTTGCCCCCCACTCGCCATAGAGGGGACGGGCCCGTTATGGCTGGGGACAGGCTCCCACGCAAGGTGATGGACCCGAAAAAGCTGGCCAGCCTCCTGAGGAACGGAGCGGAGGGCACCCTGGTCATTGACAGCCGCTCCTTCGTAGAGTACAACTCCTGGCACGTCCTCAGCTCCGTCAACATCTGCTGCTCCAAGCTCGTCAAGAGGAGGCTCCAGCAGGACAAGGTCTCCATCACAGAGCTCATCCAGCCCGCCTCCAAGATGAAGGTAGGGGATCTGGCCCTCGCCTTTCCTGGTGGATGCTCACACCCTCTTCCCCAGTAGAAAGGGGCAGGGTGGGGGTGGGATGCAGACTGGCCTAAGGGCCGGTCTATGTCTGGTATGTGCATCTTCCTTCTCCATCCCTTGACCCCAGTATCTGCTGGCATCTCTCTGGCACTCTTTGGAGAGGTGGAGCATGAGCTCATGTGGCCACAGGGCTGTCGTCAGGGACCTGTTCATTGCCCCCACCCCAGTGATGTGGCTCCCCACTTCAGGAGCCCTCCCCAGGCAAGTCTAACAGGTATATCAGCCTTAAGACTTCTCCTACACCAGCAAACAACCCCCCAAAGCCTTCCTGGAGCTGTAAGCATAATCCCCTGCTAAAAACTCTTCCCCTCCCCTCTGTCATCTCTAACTCCATTCAGGGACATGTAATCCTCCTCCCCTGTGACGCCAGAAGCTCTTATCCGGTGTCATGGCATATTATCTCTCCCAGGCTCCTCTCTCTATCACTCCTGGTTAAATAATAGAGGTGGCTCTGAGCCACGGAGCTGGGCTGAAGCCCTGGCCAGAACAGTGCCAGGTGTCCCCGCGGAGCCATAGCCCAGGTCCTGCCCTCCGCCAAGATGCTGCCGGAGGGCTGTGCCGGTGGGTGCCGAGCTGCGGGACGAGCCGGAGGGTGGTTTGCCGTCACAGCCCATGCTCCTGCCGGCTCGATCTTACCATTCCCCCCCTCCCACTTTGTAATTTTATGGCAAAGCGAGGGTAATTCAGGCGATTAATCAAATGCTGGGCCCAGCTGGAGCCATCTGCGGCGTGTCCCCCCCCCGCCACCCTGCAAAGCCACCGCTGTCCGCATTGGCTGCCGGTGACATCACCCCGCCGGGATCAAGGGGACTCGCAGTGCGGGGGGGCCAGCCTCGTGCCAATCTGCTGCGGTGATGCTCCGGGCTGGGCGATTTGGAGGGGATTGCAGAGACTGATTCCTGAACGGTTTTAGCTGCTCTTAAATCCCCGGGAGAATAAAGCAGAATAATCAGGTTTTTGCAAGCTAGGAGGAGAGTGGTGCGGCCGCCCTCCTCCTGGCGAGGGTCACCTCTGCAGTGGCCGCCGTCACGTGGAGCGGCAGCAGCAGCAGCAAAAGCGATGCGCAAGGGGGAGGAAGAAGAGGAGGATGATGGGGAAGGGAGAAGCATGGAAGAGTTAACGTCAGCTGATACCATCTGCCTGCAAACCTGCAGCTCGGCAGCCGCAGAGGAGCAGTGGCTCCCAAAGGGGTCGGCTGGTCCATCCAGGCAGTCACTGCTATGTCCCCATAGAAGGAGCAATCGCCTCCTCCCTGCTCCTGGACCATTGCATAATGGTCCAGGTACCGGCGGAGGATGTGATTATAACCAGGGATGCTAGGGGGGCGGAGGAGAGGTGTTACCGCCATCTTTAATTCACGACTTTTTCCTTTTCTGTCCTTTTCTGTCCTTTTCTTTCCAGTATGGCTGAAATCTCTCCTGGCACATCTGTGGGCAGGAGGCAGCGTGCCCCTGCTGCCACTCTGCGCAGCCCCTGCCGTGCTTGCCACTTGCGCAGTGGCTTTCCCAGTGCACACAGCCCGGGAATTAATTAAGCTTCAGGGCACCCTTGTGAGGTTAAGCCACTTGCCCTGGGAAGCTGGAGGGGAGAGGCCAGGGGAGTCACAGCCATATCCTCATCTGGCATAAAGCAGATGGTGGTTGTGGCCTGAGGTGTCCAAGCCTTTTTGTGCACGCGCCTGCGAGTTTGCATTTTGGGGTGATGAACTTTCCTCTCCCCCTTTCCCTCTGATTTCAGCGGCTTGGGTTGTGGATATATTTTGGGACCCCCAGAAATCAGTATGGTCTGCTGCCTCGAGGTGCACAGACCCTCAGAGGAGGATGCTGAAAGCTGGTTTAGACCTCCGTTACTCCCGTATCATTTCCCTGCCTCCACCTGCCATCGCTGGCCAGCCCCGGCCCCGCTCTGCCCCAGCTCTGCACACCGGGGCTGGGGGAGGCGGTGGGGCGAGAGGCATGGCTGGTGTTGGGAGCAGATGGCAGGAAGGGTGACATCAGTGGCGCGATTGTCCGGCCCCATTATTCCTCCTGACGGGCCTCCCGCCCTCCTCCCGTTTCCTGCTCCCGGCCGGCCGGGGCTGCCGAGACAAAGGCGGCCGGCAGCGACGCGGGGCTGCCCGGGCAGGGAAGGGGCAGCCCTCAGCCCCCGCCTCGTCACTCTCCTCCTTGCCTGCCCAGTGCAGAGAGCTCGACCTGCGCATCCAGGCTCAGCGATGACCCGGGCAGCGATTGCCTTTTGGGGAAGGACGCAGGGGCTGATACAGAGCAAAGCTTTTGGGCAACCTCACCTGGCTCCCCCCTCCGCTCCTCCCGCATGCGCGCAGGCAGGGGGGATGAGAACATTTGCCTAATTTGCTTTTCCCAGTGCTTGTACCCCCCCTTTCCATACCACTGCTAAGGAAGGGTAACATTAACGGTGCTTCTGGATGCTGTGGTTTGGAGCAATGCTGTGGGATAACAGCAGCTCCTGGCTTTTTTGGTGCAAAGAAGGGAAAGGACCATTTGGTGGGAAAGAAGAAATGGGGAAAATAAAAATCCCTTTGTTTCTTCAATGAAGTATGCCTACAATCATGGGCATAGCTGAGCCACCGCTCCCCGAGCCCCATTGTGCACCGCATCCCGCTGGGTGCATGCATCTTCCTGTGGTGCCCGGCTGGGAAACTGCAGCAGCAATTCATTTCCCAATTAGCAATCGTCTCCCTCTGCACAAAAATGGTACCAATGTACTGCTCTGGTTTTGTTTTTGAACCCTTCTCCCAGTACTAACAATAATAATATCTCCCAATAATAAATTTCAGTAACAACTGGAATAATTCAGCTCCTTGGTGCAGTTTCAGGGGCAGAGGTTATGAGAAATTCCTGCTTGGGTTTTTTACTAGCATTTCTTGAGGGAAATATTGAAAATTTCACTTCTTCAAGATCCCCCTGGAAAGTCTTTCCACCTCTTGACCTCTTCTCGCTTCCTAAAATGTAGCTATCTCCAGAGCAGCTATAGCCGCGGTTTGAGGCATGATAAGGGTCTCTTTGGGCGATGGGAATATTTATTTATTTGCATTAGGAGTATGGCTCTGCAAGCAGCTGTTTTGCTTGAGGGAAAGCTGGGGCTTATTTTTGAGCTGTGTGCCTGGCTGCTCTTTATGTTGATGGAAGCCCTGTTATTTCAGTGGGGTGATTCACTGTGTTTTGAAACAATATGTGACTGAGATGTCGGTAGTAATTGGAATAATAAGAATAGCTTGCTCTTATCTTAGCCTGGATCACCTGTAGAGCATCATCATCCCTGCTTGACAGCCAGGGAGAGGTGGAGCAGGGACCTGGACTGCGTTCAACCACCCAGTGGCCGGGACCAAATGTCCCTAAGAGAGTTACCTCCAGCCAGAGCTGGGGAGGGTGATGGGGAACACTGGGCTTGGCACGAAGGCGATAGATGGTCTCAGCTGGGGTTTGGTTGGAGCTGTTGGCTGGGTGGTCCCTGCTCCAGGCTGGCCATCTCCCACAGCCGAGGTGCTGGCAGGGAGGAGGTTTGTCCCTGGGAGGTGCCCTGGGGCACCTCCAGCTTTGGGGTGGGCCAGCAGCTTTTCAAAGGCATGCATGGGTTTGCAAGTCCCACTCAACATCTCCTTGGAGCCAAAAGACTTGCTGTGCCTTGGCCCTGCTGTCCCTTGCTGGCTGGATTTGGGGACCCTTTCTGGAGGGTGATGCCTGGGCGTTTGGTTACTTCAGCAGTCTTGGCAACCCCCATGGGAGAGCTCCCACCGTGGAGGTGCTGCTCCTTGGAGGGACTCCTCTGGTGTCAGCCGTGCCCCTGCCCTATGCCAACCCCTGGCAGAGGCAGGAATCTGGCCCTGAGCTTTACCCTCCTCCTCTGCCCCCATTAGCTTTTAACCTCTGTACATTTAAGGCCAGAGCTGGGGCTGTGCCTTCCCTTGCATGTCAGGAGTGCATGAGGTTAATGGGAGACCCGCGGACCTGATTAAACATCTCCCTCTCATTTCCCTTTGTGGCAAGGAGCCGCGATGCAGGTGCAGGCTCCCTGTGTGCTCCACAAGGGCTCCTCAGGACCATCCTGCAGGCATCCTCACCCCAACAAGCGGGGTATTTATTTTCTGCAGCCAGGCCATGTGAGGCCAGTGCTTGTTTGGCATTTACATTGAGTGAAACCTTATAACTTTAATAAGATGTAAACCGTGTCGCACATCTCTGCCGTCGCTCGGCAACCCTGCAGTAATGGCCCAAACAAAGCCTCCCCATGTGGAGGGAACACTAAATCCTATTGTGGGATAATTCTGCTCGGCCAGAGCTGGTATCTCGCCTGCAGCCACCCCGGCCGGGACTGCGCAGCTGGGATGAGCCCCTGCCCCGCCACAGCTCGGCCCCCACCTTACTGTGCTTTTAGGGGAGATGCTTTCGCTGGCATGGGGCTTCAGGCTGGGGACTGGGTTTTCAGGATGTGCTAAGGGCGTGCTAGGGCGGCTTGAAAGGATAGTGGCCCTGCTAAGGACTGGCGGGCTCCTGGCTCCCAGCTGGCTTGGCAGGCACCGTGTTTTCCTT